CTCCCTCATTAATTCGAATCCCACAGACAGCGTTTCTCTATTTCTTTCCACTAGAGGAGCCACATCTACGATAATAATTACAAATGGATGATCGTAATACCCGCTCATATGGCTGATGTGGCCTGCGTGCCACGACATGTTCTGTAGATCCTGTCGTATTCTCTTTCAATCTCAAGATTGTTCTAGATGCTCTTCAAAGGGACTTCACATCCCAGAGGAACATTTTATTGTGTCAGTCAGTGTATTTCATTTAAGCATACGCCTCATCTCAGATGTTTCTCCTAAAAGTCATAAAAATGAATCCATTCAAAGGAGGTCGCAATCAGTAATCGTAGACCCTTTCAAAAAATGAAAGTTCAAGTTCATTTAAGGTACATTATGTAACTTTTTGCCCTCTAGTGATAAAAAAACAGAACTGCATGCATTTTGCGGAAGAACATTGTTTTGGTTGTGCTTCGGCTCTGCCTGATTGTGCAGATGAATATGGTTATCTTTCTGCTCATAAAACATTCTCTACTAGGCTAACCAGTTTAGATGGAAAGGATCTCAAGCTGACTAGCTGAAGATGTTACAGTGCTTCAAAAAAAATGAAATGACACTTCATCACAATAGAAATGCTTTACAGTGAACTCTAGAGAGATACATAGGACAATTTATCTGTTCAATAAAATACCTTACTCTCCTGTTGTGTAATAAAAACGCCATCATCTCTTTTATTACGAGCTCTGTCACGTTCTCTTTTGCCAGCAAATCCTAAAAGGAAATGTATCATGATTTCCACAAAAAAAAAACCACATTGATAATAATAAGAACTATGATAAATAATAGATCACCGAATCAGCATATTAGAGTGATTTCTGAAGGATCATGTGACACTGAAGACTGGAGTAATGATGCTGAAAATTCGCGGGAATAAATGACATTTTAAAACATATCATAATAGAAAATTGTTATTTTAAATTGTAATAATATCTCACAATATTGCTGTTTGTTTTTACAGGTTTTTTTATCAAATAAATGCAGCCTTGGTGCTCCATTATTCCAAACTCTTGTCTAATCCTGTGTTTCAAAAACATGGCAAATCACCAATATTATCTGATAAAAATGGTATCATACATTTAGCTTCTTTAGCTGAAATATTTTTCAGGTCCTGCTAAAGCGTTTGCTGCCTTTACCAAAAAGCAACTGGCTCTTTTATCTGATAGGCGAGACTTCCTTTACTATATTGGGTGTTGTGGTTTCTCCCGGTCATTTCCTTCTGCTTATACAGTAGGGGTGTGCAAAAAAATCGATTCACATTTGAATCGCGATTCAATCTTTACCGATTCAGAATCGATTCATAGAATTCCAAAAATCGATTTATATATATATTTTTTAATGGCGTGCACGGGCGGAGTGGCAATCGGGTGAGTCAGGACTTTTACCGGTGTGTTTAGAGTTTTTTAGTAGTGTTTCGAGGCTGCGAGGGCCGGTCTGATAAATAGTTACATTGCAAGTTCTTGCCGCCCGCTGGTCAAACTGTGCAGCCTCTCTGCTCAACCCGTGAATAAATGCATCGATCCGCAGATTATGTTTGAGTTCTGTAGATCTTTTGCCAAGCGTGTCAGAGGTTACGGGTTCTTAACCGCCCTCGTATAGTTTTTTCTCTCTCTCTAATCAAAACCCAATATGTTCATCACGTTTGTGTGCATTTTATTTTGTGATTGCACCGGAGTCTCCACAACGGCGATATGAAGCGCGTGTCCGAGTGAAGACTGCGCGAGCCACAGAGAACACTGTATCCATGACACTGATAGCAGCGGCAAAGAGCGCTCAGCTTGATTTCAAAAACAACAGATCTCTTATTTAATAGCGAACTAAATGAATGCTCTGCTAGTTAACTGGAGATACCCGCAAATTAAGCCTATGAACGACTTCACTGGATCTAAACAAATCAATCTAAACCATAGATGTTACCAGTAGCGGTGGCTTTTTAAAATCTATTTAAAATAATTTCGCAAGGGTTCTATGACATTAGTATATTTTTAGGAAGTTCAATGTGTCCAGTCGAGTTCACATTTCAACAGTCAGCCTGGTAGCTGAAGTACTCCTTAAACCACATTTAGCATAATTGTTTGATCTGACTACAGCACTTTAAAGCTAAATGTAAAAGCTTTTTATTTAAGTTTTATTTTAAACTTGAATTAAATGTATTTGAAAGCTGGCCAAAGCTTGGCACTTTGCACTTTTTAGTTGCAAAAGTTTTTATTTTTGTATGAAGACATATAAAGTAATATCAAACTACATTTAATTTGTTGTGTTTTTTGTTCTTTTAAATTGTGTCTACTGCAATCAATCACATAGGAAAAAGTAAACTACATTTATATACTGCGAATCGTTTTTTGAATCGAGAATCGTTTTTGAATCGAAAATCGATTTTGAATCGAATCTTGAGACAAAAAATCGGTATCGAATCGAATCGTGACATTTTCTGAATCGTGCACCCCTATTATACAGTATCTGTCTGAGCACAGTTTGAGACATTGTTGAGATCTCTCCTGAAATTCTAGACGAGACGCGTGAGATTACTAGGGTTTTTTCCTACGTGGAGAACCTGAGAAGTCTTCATTTGCGCTCAACTTAATCTCACTACTGTCTGGTGGGAATTAACTGATATCTTAAAAAGTTTATTTTCTTTGTGAGTCAGAGGTTTGAGGTCTTCATGTCGATTGTGAGCGTTCACACGTACACAAGGCCGTTTCCTTCCTCTGGCTCAGCCTATTGATTTAGTTGCTCTCTGGTCTTGAGATGTGCCCTCACCTCCTCACCCGTCCACTCTCCTTCTCTGGTTAATTATTGAACACGCCAGCTCAGGTTACCATATAAGGCTGACTGCTGGCTTTCACGGCGTTACAGGGGAAGAACGGTTGAGTTAGTTTGAAAGGATACCTGGCTCGGGCTCTGGACCACTGTGAGTGCAGATGACTTTTTAAATTTGGTTTAATTTTGCCGCCTTGCCCTCTGGCTGTGTGTAACACTGTGAATATTGTGGATTTCATACTGACAGGCCGCCTTGGTTTGGCTTAAGGTGTTGATGCTTGATTTCCCCATTGCTACACTCTAAAAAATGCTGGGTTGTTTCAACCCAAATTTGGGTCAAATTTGGACAAACCCAAATGTTGGGTTAAAAATATAATTAAAAAAAATTTACAGTTGAAAGTGAAAGTTGAAGTTGGGTTAAAATTTTGGTCAACATTTGGGTTTGTCCATATTTGACCCAGCATTTTTTAGAGTGATATGTCTGACATCATTGTGTAAAGCCGCAGATGAATGGAAAACACACAGCTGGATTTAGAGTATTACTGGGGTAGGATACTAGGATATGGCTAAAATAAAATGTTATTTATTGAAATACATTTTTTTTAAATTAGGGATGCACAATATATCGGCCACCATATCGGTATCGGCCGGTATATGATCATTTTTAATGTTATCATTATCGGCCTGAAAAGAAAATTTGGCCGATATTTTAAAGCCGATAAATAATGGATTATTTCCTTCAGCTGAGACACTTCAGATGCGCAGTGTTCACCATGATGGTTTTGAATTGCTTGAAATATGATTGAAATCACTTCAAAAAAGGAAAATGGAGTTTAGTGCAGCACAAGTCTGTTTTATAGGCTACATTAAATTATAATGAGAGAACATTATAATTGTGTGCTTGGGACGTGGTTTTTAAAAGTGAGACTTTTGTTTCTGTAATCCGGCTCTCAAAATGTATATAAAAATTTGGATTTAGTTTTGTCAACCAATATATCGGTTATCAGCTTTTAAATATAAATAATTATCGGTATCGGCCAAAATGTTCATATCGGTGCATCCCTAGTTTTAATGATAAAATCCATAAATTAATGAATTTATTGAAATTACACTACCTGTGTTACATTGAAATTAAGTTGGTCTCCATAAGATTTTTTAAAAGAAATTCGCAAGGAAGCTAGCCTGGTTAAAACCAGAGCATTCTCAGTTGTAACTGAGTTATGGTCTGGCAAAGCATCATAAACAAATCATTTCCAGAGGGGCGTCACCAACGGACGTCGCGGATAGACCTAAACCCAATCAGAGCGATGAAGGAGATGACGTACGCAGAGCGGCGGAGAAACATCTCCGAGTGTTGTTCTTTGCTCGGTTTAACAAAAAGGAAACGTTCAAAACAGACGCGATAGCTGATTGGAACGAGTGATGTTCGACGGCGGCATCCATCTTTGTAATGTAGGCTACAAAATCTGCTTCAAAATCCCAGCGCTGTCGTCATCGTGTAAAGATTGGTTTACACGTTACCCCAATGTTTCTGATTGGTGCCGCGATTTCGGCGGATTGGAAATGGGCTTGAATGAGCTCTTTGCCAGACTAACTTTCAGAGCAAATCTAAATTTGCCGGAAGTTGTCTGGGTTTTCCCAGGCTACAAGGAAGCATTAAATTGATTAAAAGTGTAAAAGAGTGAAAACTGTGTAGAATGTTACAGAAGATTTCAGTTTCGAATGATTGCTTTTGAACTTTCTATTCATCAAAGAATCCTGAGAAATATCACAGTTTCAAAATTGAAAATAATCAGAAATGTTTCTTGAGCACCAAATCAGCATATTAAAATGATTTCTGAAGGATCATGTGGCACTGAAGATTGCATCACAGAAATAAATTACATTTTAAAATGCATGTACATACATACATAGAAAACTGCCACATGGGGACTACTGTGAATTTTTGATATTCATTAGACTACATTTTTGAGTTTTGAATCATTTTTGAAAATTTGAAATGATTCACTTTAATGTTACTTTACCATTTATGCTACTGAAATTTAAATCAAAGACACTATTATAAGAGACAAACATAATGGCATTAAAATCATCATCATCATCATCGTCATTTTTTATATGACAAAATTTGTTGCAAATATATTCATATCATTTGGATTATGTCCCATTCATGTGTCTTTCTCTTTCTCTCTCTTTCTCAGTGACAGTTACATTGTGCGCGTGAAAGCGGTGGTCATGACCCGAGATGACTCGAGTGGGGGATGGCTGGCACAGGAGGGGGGGGGCCTCAGCAGGGTGGGCGTCTGTAAGGTGATGCCCGCTGAGCTGACCGGACACAGCGACTTCCTCATCCATGGCGAGCGCCTCAAAGACAAGCAGGTGTGGCACCAACACTCATAGTCTTCCTCCCCGGGGGCTTCTAGGAAATCAAGCTGATTTACAACCTGGGGAGTTTTGCATGCTGGGTTCTTTTCCAAGACAAACCTGGTTACAAACTCATTTGTTATGTGATTTGCAAGACTTTTCTCAGACAATGACCTCTAGCAGTGCAGCAGCAGCACAAGTCTGTGGGCTCAGGCTCAGATATGTCTCACTTGTTTTGGCTGGCAGGTGATTTTGGAATGTTTCGTGAGGAAGGATCTGATCTACACGAAGGCCACGCCCACATTTCACCACTGGAAGGTCGAAAACAAAAAATGCGGCTTGACGTTCCAGAGCCCCGCCGATGCCCGTGCCTTCGACAGAGGTGTGCGGAAAGCCTTGGAGGACATTACGGAGGGTGAGAACATCGAAAGTAGAAAAACACTTGCATGTTTCCAGGCTTAAAAGTGCACTACTAAATGTTTTTGGCTCCACAAAAAAAGTTGCATACGTAAAAAAAAAAAAAGTTAACAACTATTGGAAATAAAATGCTATGCACTCACATATGAGGAAGACACTAGGCATATAAGAGGAGTCTCCCCTCACGGTGACAGCCATGTTGAGATCACATGATCTGCTGACTACTCACTTTATCTTAGTTTCACCCTTATTATTAGACGCTTTTGGTTGTGGTGTTAATCTTGGGTGACAAATACATCAATGAATAGGGTATCCGCAATTGCATCAATTAAAAAAAGTGTGTGTGTGATGCTGCATCCACACCAGTAGGTGTCAGTAGGAAGTCTAAGACCACTGTTGTATTAGCTAGAAAAAACAGCAAAACATGAATATTTAAAGTCAATAACTTTATCCCTTAAAACTCATCTTTGATCACCCAAATTACATTTAAATGTTTTTTTCTTGAAAAAATGTTTTTTCATGACTTAAAATAGCTTGAATGTAACTCGACACCCTTGCCTCATTAAGTATACACGGTTCTATGAATATGCAAATTTGCCCCGCCTCCACTCACTCACACCAGCTCAGAGATCCACTCGTTGACAATCACACGTTGATCTGATTGGTTACAAGGTAGTTTGTGACGTCAGAAACACCAGGGATTTCAAACCACGTTTTTGGTTTCTTTGGTTCACTGCAGTTTTAAGGAGAAAATACTCAGCAATGGTGTTGACTTATGAATATACACATTGTTTGTCTTAAATCATATCAAAAACACCACATATATACCACATAGTTTATATAAACAACATTAAAAGCTTGATTTTCACCACAGGGGGACTTTAAAAGAAACAGAGAAGTTTAAACCGCATACCACTTTTACTATTTCAGAAGCATATTGTGTTATTGTTTTTAGAACAACAGAAAAATAATACTTACGGCATATTCTTAAATGTGCTGCAAGACTTTGAATTAACTGCAACCATCTGTGTTAAGAGTAGAGAGGCTATACTTTAGCGATGTGATGCGCTCTAGGACTTCTGGCTGGAGTTGTGTTTCATCCATCAATCAATCTTTCACTGTCGTCTCGTCAGTTTCTTTCTTTCTCCGACCTCAAACACCACCATTAACCGACAGGATATGTGAAGGTCTGTCGGCTCATGTCTCCTGTTTGTGTGTTTTATTTTAGGTTCCACAACTTCCTCTTCAACACTCCAAAATGAGGCTGAACTTGGAGATGACGATGTGTTCACAGTAAGAGCCTTTGTTGTATAATGATTATTTAAAAGGTCATGAAACCCTAACCCATTTTTTGTGATTATTTGACATTATTCTTTGTTTATTATTAAGGGAAATGTGGTTATTTTTTTTATTTACTGGAGCCATTTCGTTCTTCCGGTTTGAAAAGCAAAGTGGAACCAACATCATGAAAAAGTGGAGTGGTGATTGGCTGCAAGTGCGCGTCTCTGTCTTGAGTTTCTGAGCTTTTTGCCGCATTATTCATGAGAGTTAACTCTTTTAATCCAATCACTGCGTTGTATTATGCATGAGATCGCATTACAGCGGAGAATTCAAATGTCACAGAAGACCGTTTAACGCGTCCCATAAGTGTATGTTCCCTCAGTACAGTAACACAAAAGTGTGGAGCTGGAGTTTGACTACCAACACGTGAAAAATATGAGTGTGCATGAGAGCGGTTTCTTTAGCTACACTCACGATTCATATCCAGAGCAAGCATGTATCGGACATAATTCATATACTCCAGCACCGTGTATGCACACATTTTTCATCCTGTCTTCTTCAAATCAAATATATATGTGCAAATAAGGAGACTGATACAGCGGTACGTCTGATCATGAACGCGATGACACTGAATTATTCTGATACACAGAAGACAATGATGAAGAATGGGCAAAAAAGCAACTATGCCTTTATTATTTCTGTTAAACTGATCATTTGTTCTAAGATTTTTGCCCGTATTCGTAATGAAAATATTTTTAGACCTATTAAATGTTCTTCCTCATTTTTCGTATATCAATAGCTCTGCAGTTATAATGCTGATTTGTTAATATTTATAATTTTTTTTTTAAAAAAAATAGCAAAACGTATTTGATTTGTTGATGATAGTAGTAGTCTCTAATGAAAAGATTTTTGTGAGTTTGTTGTAATAGGGTTTTCATGACCCTTATTACTGTATTATTACTTTATCATATTCCTATTATCATAATGTGTCAACAAGGCATTTTTAATAAATGTTTAAAACATTATTTTTGTTTAAGAAATGATGGATGATTCCCATTATTCTAGTTAGATTCTCATTTCAGTAATAGTTTTTTTTTTAAATACTACAAAACAATAAAGAGTATACTACATAGAATAAAGAGAGTAACAAATATGAATGTTATGGGTAAATACTTCAATAATATACACAATTTAAATCATATATAATTTAATTGTATTTACATACAATATAAAACAATTTAAATATGATATAATAACAAATACATTTTTCTGCATTACAGTGATGAGATTGAGATTTATTGCATTACTGTAATAAATGTGAAAAATCAAATGATTTTCAGGCTTCCTTCTCTTTCCTATTTATTTCTTTTGAATTTGGAGTGAAATATTACAAAGCCCCTTATAAGACATTCAGAAGAAAAAAACCTATTTATTAATATATGGTAAATGTTTTTCATTTATTTAGATAAATTGTGGACAGATTTTATTAATTTGTTCCCTTGCTTTAGTTACATTTACGATTGAACAAAACTGAGCGAGCGAATTAGTACAGCTAAAACGAGGGAACAAATGTGAATGAACTCTTAGCTCGTGGTGTTTGCTTCACCTCATGTCATGTGCGTGGCTCTGTATGATCCAGACGTTTCCTCACCCAAACACATCGGCGGTGCGTGTTGTTTCACGCCATTGTGCACTAAGGACATATACGTTTTTAAAAAGCAATATTTAGTAGCTTCCTCTTCCCTTCAGCTTTGAGTGTGTGTGTGTGAAGCGTCCCAGAAAAGGCCTTGTGATATTTTTTCCCACTGTGGAAGAGACGGGCCTTTGTTTTGTGAAGATGGTGGATGTGATGGCGGCACAGGCCGGTTTCCTGTGGCGATTTCTGTTCCGACGCTTGCCTATTGCACACTCACTGTCACAGTCACAGGAGACCAGGAGCAGCAGGAGAAGACTTCCTGCTCTCCCCAGTAAAACTATCATTAGCAGCTGCTTCCTAGCTAACTGCCATCCTGATTTACTGTCGCCCTGGGTGGAAGGAGGGGGAGAGGGGGGGCACGCACAGGGGAAGCCTCATGGCTCCTCTTTCACTCGCTGTCTGTCTCGCTTTCAGGCCAAAAGGGTAGACTGCTAAGCCAAGGACCCCGAGCTTGAAAGGAAACTTAATCCAACGCTTCTTTCCGTCCTGGAATTTATGCTCTTCTTGTGCGCGTCGGAAAACACAACCAGATTTACTGCCGCGCGCCGGTTCTTTTTTAAAACCTACCTGTTTTGCAGGACACACACATTCTGCGGCTGTCGGAAGCGAGTGGACACACACTTCCACGTGAGGTCGTTGGCGCAGTTGTTGGGTTGGGGGGCTGGTGTTGATGACCTTTCCATATATTGCCGTGCGAGGCAAGTGGCCGCAGACAGCAGAAATGCGGGTCTGGATTTACAGCTCGGGGCGATTATGTCGAGGGGAGTTGTTCCTCTGCTGGGATGCACATTCCTCCTGATGGTTCCTCGTGAGCTAACCTATACTTAACCTCAGCTCGTTTTAGCTCATTCAGATCAGGGAATGGACTTGCGTCTCTGAATGCAGGGCATTTAGCAGGGTGTGTCTTCAGTGTGCTCTGAGACGCATGGTTTTGAGATGCTTGTGCTTATATTTTCACCTAATGCATATTTGCTCTGAAATGGAGTCAGTTAATCAAACTGCCAATGTTACAAAGCAGATTAAAAACTTTTGAAGAAGTAAATTGTAGTAAAAATACAAGTTGTAGAAAGTAGTTTTTAATACATGAACTAAAGAAAGAATATGTAATTATTTTGATTTATTTATGGACCAATTTAACAATACATACAAATATTATACACAGTATTACATATATAATACAGCAGAAAAATGATTGCAGTATTGATTCATTTTATTTCACCAGAAAAACAACAGTATATTTTGAATATTGGATATAATGAGCAGAATTAGACGGAAAACTTTTCGGAAGTTGCAACCTTGTTTTATTTACACTATAATGGGAAATGGCTCCAAATAAAATTTTCTGAATAATTTTAGACAAATCTCAGTAGTAAAAATGTTAATATTGAGTTAGTACATATAAAACCAAACCAACACATTTTCACCTGTGAAAGGTTATCCCAATGTTGTGGCATCATTGAATCTTACTGTGAGTGTGAGTTATGACATGCGGACCGTTCCAAGATGGCGGCGGGCCGACGTGTCTGGAGCGGTCGAATGTGGCATCTACGTATGCTCATATGGGCAAAGACTCTTCTACTCCCTGTCAAACATTTTACATTTAAACATTCAATAGATTGGGGCTGGCATCATTCTAGTAACCTGCCAAAACATGCTAGCGACACTTCTGTAACTTACATGCTAACAATGCGTCATGCTAAAATGTAAATTACCTTTTAAACACTTTTGAATTAAAATACTCTTTGAATGAAAAAAAAAAAGACTTGCCTTTCCAGGTCACCACACACATTGAACTGATTGGCAGAGCAGAGAGCAACAAGTGCTCCAAAGGTCATAATGCATCACCCTACATCATGACAAAAGCAACGCTCAATGATGATACTCAAAATTGTCATTAATATCTATGATGAGTCATCAGTTATGAAGGGAAATTAGTATTTTTGATTGACAGCTGCGCAACTACCACTTTTGACGCTTCAAAATATTCATAAAGAGATTGTAAAATTAATCCATATGAAACTAATTCATAAATTCAATCTGTTCATCATATAAAGCGATTGTGTCTCTTCAGAAAATTTGGACTAAACCGCTCAATTTATATGGATTAGTTTTACGATAGGGTCAACGGAGGGCCAGAAAGCTCTCAGATTTCATCAAAAAGATCTTCATTTGTGTTGTGAAGATGAACTTACAGGTTTTAAACGACATGAGGGCGAGTAATTAATGACAGAACTTTTGGGTGAACTATCCGTTTAATAGGATTGCATTCATATAAGAAGTGAACCGTACCAGAGTTCACATGAACCCCAGATCACTGTTTTTAGGTGGACTCAGGTTCAGTTCGTGAATGCACACCCGAGTTCGAAGAACAGCGTTCACATCATCCAAACAAACTAAACTAATGTCTATCGAACAATGGTGCGTGCCAAAAGTGCACTCAGTAAACTTCATAAAAACTATATAGACATATTTAAAAAAAAAAAAAAAAGCTAATAAAAATGTTAAGAAACACTACGAAATTGTTGAAATTTTAACTAAAAACTAGAATAGTATATCAATGATACTAAAGTAACACTGGAATGACTGACTTTGTAAAGCGCAAAGGAGATATTTTTTTATAACAATGTTCTTAAATAAATTTAGTGAATAAGTTCTGCTCATATGATCAAGATGTAGTATACTAACTACATATATATATATAGTTAAACTATAAACTAATAGTGTAGTCACATGCACTGCTTGAATTTTTAGTTGAACAATCCAATTATTTCTAATTTGAGCTTTTCCTTGTTTCAGGTGTGTATTTGATTTACATATTGCATGAATACACTCTTTACTTTATACTTTAAAAGAGTATGGTAGAGTTTCTGACAATTTGGGCTGTGTAGTGTGTATGTGTGTGTGTGTTGGGAGGAAATATATAAATGACAAAAAACAACTTCCTGTGCAGCAGTCAGGCAGGATAAGGCTTTGCTGTATAGAGCGCTCACAGCCAGGGCCCTGGAGGATGCTCAGAGGAAGTGGGATGTGGAAGACTAACATTTCTGGGAAGAGGGGAAAAAAACGAGGTGGAAAGAATCAATGCTTCTTTATGCAAGAGGTAGAGAACCTTTATTCTGTTATCCTCTCCGGTCCTTAGCAGGATTGGGCATCTGCATGTGGAGTATGTGTACGTAAAGGCTCTCAGCACCGGTGCCCTTCCAAGACTCAAGATGGCTGATTACAGGCAATTTGACTTGGAACTCAATTAGTTCCAGCACATTTTTCACTCCCTGGATTGTCTTATTGAGGAATTATAGCTGAAACCCTTGTTGTC